GGGCGGGGGCGGGCCCTGGGATCCTGGGCAGGGACTGGTGCCGGGCGCACTCCAAGGAGACCGCGGGGAGAGGCTAGCTTGCGGACGAAATCTTCCAACAGGCGACTTAAGGAAACTTTTCCTTTTCGGGAAGGCGTGTCCATATCCTATTGGGCAGTGAAGTGAATCTTCCCCATGGACCCTGCAGAGGAGTGTGGGGATGGGGTGAGCTGGAGGGGTGTGTGTGACACATTTATTATCACTGTGGGGAAGTTTCTAGATCTGTGATGTCCTTTTCCCTAATCGATTTAATGCATTTACCTCTGTGTGTGTGAGTCGGAATCGACTGCAGAGCAGTGAGTTGTTGTGTGAATTAGTTTTTCTTGGACTCCTAAATTCTTTTTTGATAGTGCCTAGAAAGTTCATGCTCATCCATGAGAAAAGTTGCCCGGTAATCATACGCCATTATGTTAGGGCTGCTAGGTCATCTTCACATCTATATGACCGAAGTGCTTACCATTCGTATTTCTGAGCAGGAATGAACGATTGTGAGATGGATTGCAGAAGGGCAAGGAGACACTGCATTTTTAGAAGTTGAAGTTATTACGTGGCCTCCTGTGTGGGAATCGACCCGATGGCAGTGAGTTTGGGTTTTTGGTTTTGTAAAGCTATGGGAAGAAAACAAAAGTAAAAGATGTAAAATAGACTTGTCCGTTTTAGTGACGTGTTGTACCAGAAAAATATCTGGTACACAGTGTAGGAATTCAATAAAGATTTGCTAAGCAAATGACTGGGGAATGGGTGGCAGAAACCCAAAGATCCTGTTACATAGGTAATGAAATGTAAAGGAGAGGGCAGAAAGAAAACATCCTGACAACAGCTTCCGTCCCTGTGGGCGTAATTACAGAATTCCAACAGTGTTGAAGACGCATTGACCTTGGCACTTGCTTGAACTTAGATGGCCACTTTTTAATGGAAAGTTTTCACATAATTAAGCCAGGTTTGATTAGGAGTTTCAGATACATCCCAGTTAAAATTTCAGGAAGCTGAAACGTGTTTGGTTTGATTATAATTTTTTTAAACATGCACTTTGTCATTTAAAGTAGGGTGTCACTTCAGCATAGTTGAAGCAAAAGGATACTGCTCTGTAACCCAGGGGTTTGAAGATAAGAATTGGCTGGGAAGCTCTACTGACTTGGTCACAATTTTAAAAGGATTGTTACTTCTGCCATGTGCCAGTAAATATACGGCAATGTAATCGCTAAATCTATTTTATTCTTAGCAAAATCAGATGGTGGATACCAGGATAAATTAGGATTCTTGACAACTGCTGTCATGTATATAACAGGTATATGTGTATGTATTTATTAACAAAACAAACAAATTCACTGGTATCCAGTTAATTCTGACTGATAGTGACCATATAGGATTGGGTGGAACTGCCCCTGTAGGTTTGTGAGACTTTTTTTT